TACATACTATTCAAAAGAAACAAAAGACCAGAAGATCACCTCACCAGCAATCATCACCCAGGCAACCAAAGGTTACCACCAGGCACACAATCAAGCAGCAAACATATGCCAATCAAAGAACTACCAGAGGAGCAAAACAAAACCCCCCACCCTTACCAACACTGGCAGAGCATGCCACAGTATATAAATAAAGAGCAAACCCCATCCCATTCTAGCACTGAAGATGTTACCTAGCCGGGTAATGAAATGTTTGCAAGAAAAGAGCCAAGCTCAGAGAACCCCAAGGACTCCACAAGGGTAGCATAGCACTGAAGATGTTACCTAGCCGGGTAATGAAATGTTTGCAAGAAAAGAGCCAAGCTCAGAGAACCCCAAGGACTCCACAAGGGTAGCAACTTTCATACCACTTTAGTTTTTTGCCAACTCAAGGGCGGGGGGAGACATTTCAACATGACAGGGAGTAGGGGTATCCACAGGGTGTGAGCAAAAAAGTTGAGGTGGTGTGAGACTGAAGCTGCCATGACTAAAGATGGAGCAGGCACATAAGCAGAGGGGACAAAAGCCAGGAACCTCCTCTATGAGATCCTTTCCAGGAGGTAGTTAAGAAGGAAACAAGTCGTTAAGGAAACAAAGGAAAAAAACACCTGAACCAAGCAAAGGAACTTGGGCCTCAGCAGATGGAAATTGCCCCCCCCCACCATTAATAGCTACCAGACTTGTAAATTAACAAGGCAAGAGTAGCCGCCAGTCTTGTGAATCAACAAAGCAAGGACTTTTGTGGATAAAGGAGGCCCTGAAGTCCGCCCACTCCTTGAGTTGTCTTTGGATCCAGACTTGGCGACCTCTGTCCCTCTAGCTAGTGCCTGGCAGCCTAGTTGGGTAAGTGTGGATCCGTGTGTGTGAGAAAGAGCAAATGTACATTGTAACTGGTAAAGTTTTGCTGTTACTTTAAATTGACTGGGTCTCTGTGTATCCCAAAGAACCTGTTATGCCTCAATGTTCAGTTAGAAGTGATCTGTGTGCAGCACCTATCTGGAAAACCCAGGAAGAAAGCAAGTGGGAGCTTACAAGATCCCCATGCCTCAACAGCTCTGTGTGTGTGAGTGAGTGACCATAAGCCAAACCTGGAAGTGCCTGTAACAGTGGCCACAACAATATGATGGAAGCTTCACCCATCTTTGTTGCACATAAAGAAAGAGGTAGATCTTTGACTGCAGCTCAAGTGTTTTTTGTCCATACCTTGCAGACACCCCTTGCAGTGTGGAAAGGCCCTAAGTGGCAAGGAAGAAAATAGCATTTCTGAACTTCCCCAAGTTTTGAGAGTTGCCAACCCTGTTTACGATCCTGTCATCAGATTTATAAATGTCTTTTGGCTTAATGTTTGCCAGCTTCTTTTGTTTTTCTCTCTAAAGATTGCAGTTTCTTTGCTCCCTCCAGTTTTTATCATTAAGGGTTAAGTAGTTTAATGAGCTGAAAAGTGACTACCAACACACTGAACAAATGAGCCCAATGTGTTGGATGAATCTTGCCTGCATCTTTTAGCTTCTGATTCAGTGCCTCATATAAATGTAGAAAACTGGTTTTATTAATAAATCCTGATTCAGTTAAATATGGGTAAGCATGTCATGCAAATACAGATTTTCTTTCCACAAAAAGTAAATATGGTTGCGCTAGCCGTAAGTAATAGAGCATTATATCTTTTATTTAATCTATTTGGAGATCTAATCTAACAACATTTCCCTAATAACTATTCAAATATTCCCTCCCTGGGGTTGCAGAAGCTATTATTTATATTAGAAAGAACAGAGTTAACTGTGTATGCAAACTATCTACTATTTGGCTCTGAGACTTAATGATACTAATTTAATCTGACTCAGTGAAATAAAATGCAGTTGATTTATACTCTGGACAACTGTTTTAAGTTCCCTGCAGTATTAACAGATTTATAGAACAGAAAGTGTATTTCTTTCAAGGAAACTCCTAACCCTGTAATAAGAAGCTGAAGCTTTGCATGATGAAAAACAAATTTTCTAATGCTAAACATTTTATAAATAATATAATCAATAAGGATATACTCACCTCATGTTGCCTGATCAACAGTTTTTAAGAAAGCTTGCTTTCCCTCCGAATAATGGAGTTTTCTTCCCGATGATCTGCTCTGAAATGCTGCATTCATTTGCAGCTACCCACTTTTATCTTGTCACAAATGGAAAAAGAATCCTAAGGCTTCCTGCCCCTAGAAAACGAAACTGAAAGTCACTTGATTAATCCATCCAGATCAGTTTCCTTTTCTTCTGGTCTTGCTGTGTGGTTTCAGTGAGTACATTATAGAAGAATCTTTGCTGTAAACAAATTCTGTATCTCATTTGTTGTTAAACAGAAATGCTAATTTGATGAGTGGGTTCTCTTGTTTTTGAAAGGCATGACCTGCTTTCTCTGTGTTTATTGTGTTGAAACACGAACTGTTGAAAGCTTCATTTATACAGGCTTTGTATTCTTTTCCATCTCAAAGCAATAAATGAATTACTTATCTTGCTAAGCCCAAACCAAAATATGTATGAGCCCAGTTTTGTGGCTCGTAACCACGGTTTATAACTTGGTAAATTTGTTGTATGGACCCGTTTGTCATTTAAAATGCCACAGTTACACTACAAATTAGTGGGCTGTGGAAGCTGAAGGCAATCTTTGGTGAAACGTACATTAAAACAATCGTGGGGTCCTCAACAGGGGGCTCCCTTGGTTCACATCTGTTGTATGCATTTTTAAAAGATTCTTAAATTTTTTTTAAAAATGAACATTTGGTATTCCACAAAGTTTTAAGTGTCAGCCTCCAGCATTAGTATTTTTAGTTCCATTGATTCCTGAGTGGGAAGAATAAAAATGTTGGGGGACGTATTCCCAATTGTCCCAAAAAAGGTCCATAGTAAATCAGAGGTGGTAGTTTACTTATAGGTTAAAAAAAGAGTATCATTGACTAGTTTGCTTAATGCTTTTGTTTAATAATAGGAAGACTATCTTGTAAATTTTATCAGCAAGTTTTGCGATTTTACAGTTTTATAAATAGTATTTTTATTGTGGCTGTAAACGCATCATGATCTATACTGATTTTACTGTAACTTTGTCTAATTTTAAGTGCTTTTGTGTAATTTTAACTGCTATTTGGTTTTTAAAGTTTTATTTTTAAATTGTGTTTGGATTATAACCTGGTGGATATCACGTTAGAAATGAAGTTTTTGGTTTGTATTGAATGGATGAGATGTATGTCTTGTCTAGTGGTGGGTGTGTATGTCAGAGTGTACTATGGGCCGTGGGCTGAAAATGGCAAAGTGTTAGATGAGGACCCCATTTTGTAAGTATAAGGTGGTGCTGCTGGGCCAGTAAACAGAGCCTGTTATAAAAGGATGGGAGAAAGCAACTCAGGATTTAAACCTCTTTGCAGAAGCTGTTCTTCACTGTAACTAAGGCTGTTTGTATCTGCAGAAAAAGAATTTTATCCATAGGGCAAATGTGAGGGGGAAGGGGGTGCAAAAAAAGTCAAGATGGTGGCTGGGACTGCATGATTGAAGCCCCATCTCTTTCACACATGGGGCACACTTTAAAAAGGGGCAGGGCTTCAATCACATGGACGTGGCTGCCATCTTGACTCTTTGAACCTCCCACCCCAGTTATCTACTCAAGTCAAATTCTTGCTTTCCTATGAGAGTACTGAGTTCAGGAGAAAGAATTATGCCCGGGGTTGAGGGCAATTCCTGACAAATGTTTCTCTGAGCATCATGAGTTGTACATTGCGATCTCCAGCTTTGTACTTTGCATTTAAGTTCCTGAAGGAAGTTTCTATTCTTTTAGTCTTACTGGTTTGCCTTCTGGCGGAGGAGTTTTGTACGATGTACTATATCCAGCAGGGCAAACATTTTGTGACTTCTGCTCCCCTTTTATCTGATCTCACATACTCAGGGTTGATTTTGAAAAGCAAACATAATGATTTTAAATGTAATTCATACTAAATGGAAATGGATAGTAACTCTTTATTACATTCAGTGACAAGAAAAAATGTAGTAAATGAAATAGTAAAACAATAATAGCAAAAGCCAGCAATAAAGCACAAAACAGGTCAACAGTAAACAACTGAATGAAGGTGAACAAATTAACCCATGATAGGTCCTACAGGCAAGAAAGCAAAATACAGAAACATTGAAGGACATTTTGTCATTCTGTTTGGACAATAAGTAGTGCAGATAAAATGGGTTTGAGTGGCCTTGACTAAAAGGAGAATTATACAGTGTGCATCAATGCTATTATATAACAGTACAATATATATAGAAAATTACCTATTGATTCAGTGCATCTCAGTCTTCATGGGGAAAGCCATGTGACATATAGCATTATTTTTACATTTCCTTTCCAATACAGCCACGAATAACATACTGAAATGAACTAGTATAAGGTTCTTCTAAATTTTGGCATCAGTTGATTGAAGTATACCTTGCTACTGTAGAATTGGCTTCCTAAAAATAATCTCTTGGGAGACAGAAATCCTTAATCTGTCTCACTGTTCAGCGTACCTGATCAAAACCATTGCGAAGAGTTTATATTTTGGGATCTTTTTATTATTTTATTTTATTATTCTTAATAAGTGGTTTACAACTGCCCATGTTGGCTTATAGCATTAGAAAGCTGCAGTTTGCTCTTCTCTGAATTTATTTGGTTGCCCCTGGATTGGAGGAAAATTCATAATGGGAGAGAGTAAATCAGGAGGACTCCAGGGCTGATGCACAGTTCATACCCTGGGGTCCTGGGAGCTGTCTCATGGGACAGTGCAAAGCCAGTTCTTGTGCCAGATTTGCTTGAGATCCAGTAATTATGCCTGGCCTTGCAGAGACAGGGTTTCCAAGGTCTCTGGCCCACAGAGATAGAGGCTTGGAGAAGTTCAGAGTTTTAAGCCGGGGGTCCCCAAGAGTCTAAAATGTCCTGCTAAAGGAGTTCTACTTTCTTGTCCTTTTGGGGAGCTGCAGATAAAAGGAATGTGCCCATAGTTTTGCTCAATTCCTCATTAGAGTCCTTTAGCCTTGGTACTACAGAATCCTGGTAGTGCCTCCCAGCTTCTGTTTCCCAAGCCTTGAATGCCAGCTACTGGGCAAAACTACCCTCCTTTTCCTTTTTACTCATGCGTAGGGCTCACAAATGAACTATTTTCCCCATACCCCACTTCTTGGAATGTACAACCCTGGATGTCAGGGGTCCCAAGAGACCTTATTCCATTTTTTTAGATATTTGCAAAGAGACAACCCATGAAGTCAGCAGGGGTTCCTTTCTCTGGAGTGCCCTCTTTGTTTCCCATTTTAAAATCTTGCAGGCACACCCAGGGAGAAAGTTGGGAAAACAGAGGTGACCAGGAGGTGCCCTTGCATTCTAAGTGACCTAAAAATGAGAATTTTGGGGTTACTTAAGGATAATTGCACCCCAAAGTTCAAACAGAGAGACAAATAGACACATATGCATGCACATGCACATGCACACACATCCTTAGCTATACAGTGTTTTATCCTTTTCCTGAGTCAAACTCAACCGGGGGATTATTCTGAGTTCTAACCTAACCCCTGTAATTTTTCTGATCTGCTTTCTTGCTTGACAAAAAACTGCTAGCAATTCTAGCGGTTACAGTACTTATCTAAAATAGAATTGTCTGATTTATTGTCAGCAATTATTACACTGAAGGCAGCTTTAAATGTTAGGAAACTGGTATCCAACTTTTCTCAATGGGGTAAACACATAATTGTTGAAGGGCATAGCTCAGCATTAGAAATAGGAAATGGGACTGAGGTCTAAAAACAATTTTTCAAATGCTCTCCAATGTGACATACCTGAAAAGTTGTAACTGTCTCCACATCTGGCAATAGATAGCTTCCACGGAAACAGAATTAGTGTAACTAAGAGCCAGTACAGTGATGGGGAACCTATGACACACGTGTCAAAGATGACATGCCACGTTTTGGGCGACACACCAGCATACACCAACACCCGACAACTATTATCTCTGAGTTACCAAAGAAACTGAATTTGTTTTATTCGTATTTCATTTTTGTAATTATTTGATGTTTCTTTACATAATACATAA